GATAACTGGAACTCGAACTCGAACTCTCCTTTTGACCATGAAACATACAAAGACACATGCTGTGGCCGGCCTCTCTCTCTCTATGACTTGCCAAATGTCCTGTTTGTATCTGCGAAAGATGAGGAGTTTTTCCAGTTTTCCAGGCGGGAAAAAACTGCTATGGAAAAACTGTGTAAGCTGAAACCCCTGATGAAAAAAAGGCAAACATTTGGCCAACATAACACACAGTACAATCCAATATTTTCCTGCTAACGGAATGCCGTTTCCCTTCGATCCCGCGATCCTGCGATCCTCGATCGCATATGTTGATTTTTGGCGGGTATTTCTCTTCGATTCTCTCGATTATATTTGATTAGCGTATGCACATAAGGACGCGAATGGAGGAAGGAGGATCCGGATACGGATACGGATATGATGGGAAGTAGAAGCTAAGGCTGCTGCTGCTGCTGCCAAATGCATCCCTCAAACGAATTCCCTTTTTGTTAGATCTTCCATCGAGACAGAGGCAAAGATGCATGCAGAGAAAAACCAACTGCTGCTGTCTCGGCAGGTATCCCAAAAAATTGGAGGAGAAGAAGCAATTATACGGATAAGTATATCGACTAAAGGATACTCTAACTGAGAAGAACTCAGAATTCTAAGAAAATTGGTAGATACATAACCATTGTGTTCCTAGAAATATCACTATTTATCTTCAAATATTTAGCTAATATTTCCAAAGAAACCTTAAATTTAAGGATCAAATTGGTTTTCTCAGATGAAAAACTAAGATTCTCAGATCTAAAACATCTTTTTGTCTCTATCATAACCGATTCCTTCAGCAACAAAACGTTTTGAATAGTTTTGTTATATATCGATCGAAGATCTATAGGGATTCATGGATTCTACTACCATTATCCCCTGTTTTCGATCGGGTACTGGGTACCAGGTACTAGGGAGAAGGGAAACACAGAGAATACGAATACGAATACGATATGCTTCTGCTGTATGCCTCTCCCTCCTCCATTCTCCATTCTCGTTTCTCAAGTGCTTGCGCAATTCGGTTCTCTTCAATTCCCCTTTGTGTCCTGTCCTGTCCTGTTGGGATTAGTTCGGGTTTTATTTATACAAAACTCCTTGGGATCGGGATCCGTCCTTTCCCTTTCTTCGTTTCTTGCTGGCGTTTGCATATGTCGTTTTCTAATTAAACATTTTCGGCTTTTGCTACAGTTTTTACTTAATTATGTATGTGGTGGATATTGATCGGTTATCGGTGGATCGACAAAATTCTCAGCTGTCTAAGGGATCTGCCTGACATCTGCCGAGAAGTAAATATTAATAGTAGGAATATGATATCATCATTCTCTTGATTCTGGTATATTTTAGTATATAAATACCATCATTCTGTTCATTCCCTTGATTCTGGTATATATATACAACATTTCTCTTGGTTTTGGTATATAAATCGTTCCAATCTACTTCCTCATAGGCCTCTTCCTGTCCCTTGAACGTATCTCTATCTCTAGAAACACTTGAAACTCCTCTTTTTTTTTTGCAGTATTCAGATTCCATTCCCCATTTAATTTAGATGCCATTCCGATGATTAGAAATCGTTTCATTATTTCTATATATTTCCTATTTTTATCTACTGCCCAGACATGGGGTTTATCAGACATTTTTGAGTTGTCGTCGTTCCCCAAGGTGAAGACGGACTCCAAACATTTGCTTACAGCATGATCATAGAGAGGGTAGAAGCATACCCCCTTCCCTTCCTTTCAATGGATATGATATGATGTGATATGTGTGTAGGGAAATTCAATCAAAATATCATTTGTGTAACCCTGTTTTTATTCTCTGTTTATCTTTGAGGTTTTATTCGAAAAGAGACCACCATAGAAACGTAGAGGGTGTGGGTTTTTGTTATCTTCGAAATGTGACGGAATGGAAATATCTGAGAAATATCTAAAGATAAAAAATGTTTACCATTCTGTCTGGAACCGTGGGTGGAACTTTGCTTGTAAACTGATCTATTAATCCCTCGTTTTTTCTACCGATTGGTGGTAGAACTTTGATATCTGTTAATCCTGCCTTTTGCCAGAGATCGATTAGGCATTTTCTTGGACATTTTCTTATAATATTTCCCACAACTTTGAATCGTTGATCTATCTATCCCTTTTGGGTAGGAATATATCTATTCACTTGGCGTGCAAAATCATCATTTGGCATTTTCATTAAACGCTTGCCTAAGAACACAATTCTCCAAAGACAGGACAGGGACAGTGGGACAGTGACAGGGATCAGAAAGGACACCAGCGGTGAGGAGTTGGAGGGAGGTTAAGGAACTGCCTGCAAAGGTAAATCGTCTCGGTGGCTGTGACATCCTCCAAGACAATGCTCGAAAATGTAGACAATTGTCAGGCCAAAGGTAAAAGATAAATGCGGGTTTTCAGCGAAGACTGAGACTGAGATACGAAGATACTTCTGCTGTTGGCAGATGTTCGTGGGAGACCAAAGACTGCGTTCTGCAAAATGCCTTCTTGGGGCCTCCCTTGTGCCAAAAATCTAAATTTAAACACACAAATAAACAGCAGAAACCGAAACAGAAACAGAGCAGGAGATAGTATTGTATCTGGGGCCTATCTCCCCCATCAAGAAGCACCATCTGCCCTGAAGAGGGGTCTGACTGCTGACAAAATATGAATATATAAACAGGCGCGTATTTATAAATGGAGTTGAAACAGGAGTCGGGGGTAGATGGAAGGAGTAGCAGCATTATCTATCGACTCCGACTGGCAACTGGCGCACGTCGGTCGCCCCTCGGCACGTGGCTCTGAAAATCCTTTCTGTATCTAGGAATTTTTACACCTGGAAATCGGCAAACAAACAGAGCAAAGAGCGATCGAAACAGAACATCGAATGAGTGTAGACCCCTTTTTCCAGGTCCTTTTTCGTTTCGAAAACTGCAACCACAGATGTACGCCTTTTCTGCTATGCTCTTTGACAATTTTTTGGGGTTGATCCGCTGGGCTCCTTGCTGGTTGCCGCTGGTTCCTGTTTCGCCAATATATTGGTCCTTTTTTTTTGCACAAAACAGGCACACAGCAGCTGTATTTCCAGGACGCACGCCTGCTGCCAGGATGCTGAATATGCATTTCCACTTTAATATCAAAATTTAAATGCTTTCCTTGTTTCCCTACGTTCCCCACAGCCCCTACCTAACGTACCGTACTGCTTCTTCCGATCTTGATCCCTTCCGATCTTGAAAATTGCATCTGCTGTCAAGACTGCTTCTGCTTCTGTCCTGCTGCTGCTGCTGCTGTTGCTGTCCAGCGCATTGATGATGATGATGGCCAAAGAGCACTCCCTGAGCAATTATCGTCCTTCAGAGCAGCGTGGCATCCATCTATAAAGGATAATCAGTAGCGAAGACAGCAGTTGCAGAACCGCAGAACCACAGAAAGCCCCAACGAAATGGCACCAAAATGCGAATAGCATGTGTCCCCATCATCGTAGGTAAAAGTTGTATTCATTTTGAAGCCAAGAACTTCAAAATAATTGCAGTTCAAGGTCTTGGAGTGTGGGTTTTTATGAGAAGACTGATGTTTTGTGGTTTTTTCTGTTGGTTTCTTTGAAAACTGTGAATACGGAATTGGGGGAGATTGTCAAAGAAAGGGGATGAAGGTATTCCCATGAAAGCAATGGATTTCTGGAAGATTTTAATAGAAGTTCTTTACTTAAAGATATCTGATACGGAAAATGAATTTGTATAAAAGACATATCTGGGATAATCATCATATTTTGAGGGGATATTCTCTCTCTGCTAGCAATGAAGTACCGCAAATGTACTCCAAAGTCCCTAGAGTACGAAATTTCCGAACAAAGTTCACGATCAAAAGCATTAAGGGGGCAATTTGCATAGTTTCCCCCCCAGAGTTACACACGAATTATATGGAGAGCCGTCGAATGGAATGATGGACCTTATGACCTTTCCCAAAAACAGAGAAGACAGAGAATTGCTTTGAACCTCGGCTTGAACTGCTGCGAAACGCAGAGAGACCCGACGGACAGACCAGAAGGGAAAACAACAGTTAGTAGAGATCACAGGGGTAGAGCAGAGAGTAGAGCACAGAGCAGAGCACAGAGCAGAGCGTTCTGGCCAAAGGCAATATGCAGGCTGCAGTCTGCAGGCGTCTTGGCCTAGAAGCAAGAATGGGCATAAAAGGAATCGCTGATCAAGGTGTGCGGAAAGGCCAAGGAGCGAGGAGGAAAGGAGAGCCAAGAGCCAAGCCAAGCCAAGCCGCTGTGCCACAAAGGGGAATTATAAGGGAGGCTCAGCGACGATAAACGCGAATGGCAGGCACAAAGAGAGCGAGCGGAAACCATAGTAAATAAGAAACAGCTGCAAGAGAGAACTGAAATTCACGCTGTGTTTGTGTTGCCTTTTGACAGGTTATATTGTAAAAGAAGGTGAGGTCCGACAGGGCGATCTCTATCGGAGAGATCCCTAAAAAGAAATAGTCGATTATAAATTAGACATTAGGAAATGCATTACAAATTTTGTTGAACTGCAGAAAATAATGCTTGTTAGATTTTTAGATTTTAGTTATAAAGATAATGTTTTCAGTAAAATTCATCGTGAAAATCACTGAAAAATCAGTAAAACTGCGAGAAAATGTTGTTTTGTGGACTTGAATTATTTAAATAATATAATATGACCCAAACTAAATCGCGTAACTCCCTGAATCAACGAATCTCTCTAAAAAAAGATTTCTTTGCATGCTCCCTGCTTTGTGGCCGCAGTTTCCACAAAAATTAAATCCAATGTACAACCAAGAGAGTGCACCAGCCCTACCCTCCGTGTGACATACCTTCCCCCTTCGCCTGGTGGCTGCCTAACCGTCTCTCAGCTGTGGCGTTTTCCAGCCGAGCAGCGGCTCTATCGTGTGCAGCCGAGACAGACCAAAGAACAGTTAAAATTGTAACGTCGAAGCATTCGGTTCGCCTTCGTCTCTGTCGTTCTGTCAGTCGTTCGGTTGTTCGTGTGTCCGTTGTTCCGTTCCGTGTACCTTGTCGTTTGTTGCGCGTCCAACGAGAGCCAAACAAAAAAATCCAAAATGTTTTACTAGAATCGAAAAGAACAATTTTCGCTTAATTTAATGCCAAATAAAGTTTGCAAGCAGCTGTAGAGCAGTTCTCTGTTGGGTTTTAGCGTTTTCCAAACGCCACACTTTGATAGTTTTTCCGCAGAAGAAAAAAACCAAAAAGCAATAATACCTAAGATGGGTCTTTCGGATATACCAGCCAACTATATGACCCAGGGCAGTCATCCCCACCTGAGCATCCACCACAGCCACAGCCACAGCCATCACCAGCATCAGCACCAGCATCACAATCAACAGAATCATCAGCACAATGGAACGCCCGCCCAGCAGGCCGCCCAGGTCCTGGCGATGGAATCGAACGAGCTGCTGATGAGCACCAAAGACAAGTTGTCCAGCAAAAAGAAGATGCACTTGCTCAAAAAGATCAAGAAGCGCTTCGGACTCGGTTAGTAATTACACCACCATTTCTTATAAAGCTATCCGTTTGGGCCTGGGAAACAGTGATCACAGACTGAATTCATTAAGAAATGATTCCGTTTCCCACATAATATTAGCCGGATCTCTGTAGCGTTTGTTAATTAATGCGGCAAAGATAAATAAGTAAATCAAAAGCAATCGCTCGGTGCTTTCTGCATACATTAGCATTTTTCTTTGCCGTTTCTTCAAAGTCAAACAAACAGAGAATTCTGTTTGCCTTAAAACAAAAGCAAATTTCCCTCTCAAGTGGGCTAAAATTAAGCCAAAATATAGTTAATGTTTTATGAATGGGGTAATGGCCTTAACACTTGAAGAACCTTAGCTTTTTCAAGGTTTCTTCTAAAGAAATTAACCTTAAGACCAACCGAAAGTCATTTTAGCCGGAAATGTCAGTTGATACAAAAGAAATGCACTTCTTCAAGCAACAAATTTCAAAAATTTAACCGCAAATTGCCTGAAGAATCTGAAGGAGAAGTAGAATCGGAAAAAGAGTAATCTTCCCGAAAGAAGAAGGAGCGAACGTACGATTATTGTTTATCATAACGATTATCTTCATGTGGGAACCATTTGGGGGAACAATTTTGTTGTTGTTTTGATTGAGAGAAAAAGGCCCCAACAGGCCTCTCTCTCTCTCTCTCTCTCTCTGGATTCTCTGGGCTTAAAGGCTAAACCAGAAAAACCAAAGCCAAAGGCCCCAATGACGCATAGGCAAAGACCTCTTCGAGCCCGAGCCCCCATATTCCCCATTCAGCAGAGAGGGGGAAATCGTTGTACGCGAAGCGCCGTTGCCGCCGTCGGCACAAAGTAAAGAGCAAAGAAAAAGAGAGGTAGAAGGCACACACGAAACAAAAGAAGGAAGAAATAGCAAAGCCGAGCCCTGGATGCCCTAAGCCGCTTCTCTAAACACTGCTCGAGTGTACTCCCCTCCCCAAAGGGTATCCAGCAAACGATCTGCGAAGAAGCAGCCTGTGTTGGCGGGTGGGGAGGGAGCAGCAGGAAGAGGTGTGGTATGGTGTCTGGCCGAAGCTTTGAAGTCGAGCTTCAGCCACGCGGGTTAGCCGCTGGATGGCTACGGAATGGTTTATGTCTTCCATTCCATTTTGAACGTGCGTTGCGTATCGGTAATCAATGAAATTACTTTGTTGTTGCTGGAATCAGCTGGTTTTTACTTTTTTTCTCTCTCTGTCTGTTGTTTGTTACCTGTATTTTCTTTCTATTACATTTTCGTTGTATGCTGGCACGTTTGGCTAAAAAGTTTATCTTTGCTTTTGGCTTTTACTTAGGATCGAACGCGGCATAGCTGTTGCTTCTCACGGTTTACTTTTTCAGAGTCTCGGCTTTTACGAGAGAGTGCTCGCTGCTCGCTGGCTGCCGAAGCGACCTTCGATTGTTATTTTGCGAGTGACACACACACACACCCCCATAGAAAGGGGAACAACAATTACATACACATCTGTTGCGTTTCTGCTCACCCTCACCCACGCCCACGCCCACGCTTCTTCCTTGCGCTCTCACTCTCTCGCTCGGCTCTTGGGCAATTTTTGTTCCCTTCTTGGGGTAATTCTTCTTCCTCTGGGGTAATTCTGCTGTTCTTTCGTTTTGCTGTTATTCCGCCTATGACTTCATGCTAGTCGATGTGTCACCCGTCCATCTCTTGGGCACTGCACTCACACATCTGTGGCTCTCATGATTGTGAAATTATCAGCTGATAGGGGGTGTGCCTGTTCCTGTGCCAATTCTATTTTCCCACTCCACTTCTGTTCTCTGATAACGGTCAGTGCAAATAATAGTCGCTTTTGTTGTGCCAGAAATAAAGTGCGGCTAGATTTGATTCAGGAGAATGTTGGAAATAAAGCGATTTTCTGTCTCCTTTACAAATGTAAAACGAATATCTTCCGGGTTTAAGAATGAATCATGTGCGAATAAGTACAAATGTGGCTATCTCTTAACACAAGTGTGGTTGAAGAGACCATAAATATTACAAAAATATAACTGCTATAAATTAGGGGATTTTTGGGATTCAGAGAATGCCTAATTATAGTTAGAATTGATACAGGACCGATCATAAGATTAGATTCCATTATTATTCCCAAAATTCATAGAGAACTCTTTTAAATACAGGAACTTTTCGGTCAGGAATACCTATAAAACCCCACAAAAGAGATATTAGATCTCTCTCATATGTTTTTTTTTATCTTTTCTCTCGACCCAAATTGTTATTAACTTTTATCAGTTAATGAATCCAAAGGGTTGGCAGTACATTCTAAGACCCCGTAAATGTAGTACAGAAATGGTTAACAGTGTTGTATCTGTATCTGTGTCTCTCGAGGAAGATAACGCACTCCATAGATAAATTAGATACAAAGAAAAAACAAGCTCTGGCTACCCCGAGGCAGGGAAGGGTGTTGCAACAAAAGGCCAGGCCAGCCAAAAACTCACTCAGGTAGCAACAACAACAACAACAACAACAACAGGTAAAACGAACCAAGAGGCAGCTGCAATTAACTCACGCAAAAGGAGGGGGAGGGAGGGAGCAGAAATACCTATGTATCGTATCGTATCGGGTATAAAAAGGCATCTCTTTGGGTCAATTATCTACGGGGCACTAGGAGGGCGTGCGACGGGAGGCAGAGGCGGGCGATATGCATAAATCACTGCCACCACGGAACACCACCTACGGGTCTTTAATCTATCGTATTTCTATGTCCCAAAAGCAGCAGCAGCTGTCCATCGAAAAACTTGGTCAAATCGGGTTTTTTTTTTTTTTTTGGCTTTGTGGCGTTTTATTTTCGGCTTTAATGTGGTTTCAGGGAAGAACTAGAACTAGATTTGAGACTTTTTGCAGCTGTTCCAAATGGTTTAAATATGTTAAATGTATCTGAATATTAAAAGATATCTAAAGCATATTTTGTAAAGAAACAAATGCTGGAAGAGCGCCTCTTGTAGCCCTTGTAATAATCACATTTTAATGATGTGTTTTCTATGAAAAAAGAAGCCTCTTCTTGAACATTCCCCCCGTTCAACGCTTGAGTGATTTAATTACAGAAAAAATACACAACACAAAGACGGAGCGTCGTTGTGCAGTCAAGTGCGGCAAGAAGTGGAAATGCAAGAGTCGTATCATCAGTGGAGGGCCTTACATTATATGATATTGTATTATATATATACTCGTACATATGTGGGTAGTCTCTGGTGGAGGGTTAGTAGATATTGCAACGCTTCGATAAACGCAACAAAACAAAGGCTTACGAGACGTCGAAGCTTATCTAAAAGCAAGAGGCTACCCTATCATTCCATTCCATTTGAAAACTGTACGAAAATGTGGTTTAAAGTAGGAAAATTTCGAATAAAAATAGCATTTTAGGGATAGGCATTATTCTCCTTAATTTCCTTTGTTTAACCCTTCCTTAAGGGGTTCCATTTGTTTGAATATGCTACAGGGAAATTTCAAACTTCATTAGGGAATTATTTGCTTAGGGCATTATTCATGTTGGGTATTTCTTTTGAAAGGATCTTTAATTTTTCTTAGAGTTATAGCATTTCCCATTCCCTGAGAGGGAACTTTTCGAAAACTCTTGGAGCTCTCTATTTTTGGTTTATATTATGATGTGTTGAAGTGTCTTAGGCTTCCTTCTGCGTGTATTTCTGTATTTAGATCGTGTTTTTATGGCCGCTATACGCTTCGGTTGTTCTTGGCTTGGAGTAGCTGTGGGGCCTGTGGGGCCTGTGGGGCCTGTGAGGCCGTGGGGCATGCTTCAGCGCACAAATGGAAGCGCAACAAGCAGCAGATATACCATATCATATATATAGACAGAGAGGAAGAGACAGAGAGAGAGAGAGGTGTTCCCATTCCTGGTGTTGTTTGTTGTCTTGTAAAAATAAAACAACATGTAAATTTGATTGGAGCTGTCGGCCACCCACCCCCGTAGCCGCTCTCTCTCTCTCTCTGCTCTCTTCCTTCTATCTCCTATCTATAGCACGTTTTTTACAGCTTGGCCATGCTCTCCATGCCTTCCCTTTAGCTAATTATATTTAGAAGGGGGCACCGTTTTTGGTGTGTGAAAAAGGAGGAAAACACCAGAGGGACATGCGGTGTCATTGAACCCCCCACCAAAAGAGAGAGAAAAGGTGGACAAATGCGGCTTCTCTTAGGGGGCTTCTGGGGAGCACTTTTTCCAGCATTGATTTCTCTCTCTCTCTCTCTCTCTCTCTCTCTGTCTGTCTGTCTGTTGCATCCATCTGCGGCATCAGATTTCGCTTAATCGCCTCAAAAGTGCATTGTACTTAGAGGAAGAGACCCCCCTCCCACCACGACCCACCAAGTGCTGTCCAGCCATACTCGTACTCGTCGTTTGACCTCTGGTTTCCATCGTTTTGTCGCCACATTTCTGTGTTTCTGTTGTGCAATTATTTTTATTATATTTTGCAGTCTATTTCCCATTTTCTTTGCTGTAAAAAAAGAGGCTACTAGAATTACAACAGAGAGGGGGCAGTGTCATAAAACCGGGTCTTTAGCGCGGGGGGAAAACACTCTCCTCAGAGACAGAAGTTTCTCTTCTCTTCTCTCGTGCGATGCGATGCGATGCGATGAGTGCGGTTTCCGCTGCACTGACCACCGATTGAGGCATGAACGGAAGTGGTTTGTTTTTTGCATTCAAGGGGAAAGACTAGGCAAGTAAACGACTATGGAGGATACCCTGGAGAAAGGAAAGAAAAGAATACTTCAAGCGAGAGAAAGTTCAGATTAAAAAACAATTGTGGAGGTTCCAATTTTCAAGATATTGTGACCCTATTTGTTAGGGTTTTAGATGAAGATATTGAGTACCTAAATGCTTTAAATCATCCTAATCGGAATACTATTTTGATTATTCCTTTATTTCCTTTGGATTTCTTTCTTAGAAAACTTTCATCTCTGCTTTTTGTTTTTGTTTTTCTGCTTTGTGAGTTATTAATTAACATTAATTAGTCACAGCTACAGCTTAATTTGCAGTTAATTTAAGCCAAGAATTTAGCAATATTTTTATTGCTGTGAGAATTGTTTTACACAGACGACAAATCAGGGGGCGAGGGCGAGGGCGGAGGGGCGACTGCTGCCCACAACATCCATCGTCTGTTGTCTTCGGTCTATCTTCTAATCCAAACGACTAACCCACACACACATGTAATGAATGTTGCACCTTTAACGGATAGAGAGAGAGAGAGGGAGGGGGGTATCCGAGGCTTTTTATCGTGCGGCATGTGGGCTGTGCTTGAGCCATTGACAAGCCCCGCAGTGTAGTCCGTAGGCCAAAAGCTTACCTCAATATTCATTCATTCATTCACCCACTCAATCGATCCACACTCCACTCTCGCTCTCCCTCCAAAGTAATTTATGCCAAATGGTTGACCAATTGATACAATTTGTAAATGATACGGAAAAGCCCCCACTACGCAGAGGTTTCCCCTCTATTCCCTGTTTATGGAGCATTTCCGGTGCAATTAAACGACGGTCGACGGATGACGGCCTTCCAGTCGTTGTGTTAATTGTCCGCACACGTCCCCCTTTCCTCTATGAATCATGCACGTGGGCATAGCACACGGCGGCACGTGACCTATGAACTCTGAGGCACAGCGAGTGGGCAGAGACAGACAGAGTCCATCACTTGTTGCTTGGGATAGGCACATAATCACTCTCTTAATTGCTGTCCCAATCATTGGCTTAATTCTGCTGTTCATTCTTCAAAGATCTCTCAAAGTAGGACACTCTCTAGACTCCTGCTTTCTCTGCCCACATTGGTCTTGAGTGATTTGTTAACACAAATCGTTAAGCATCTATTAAGCTCCCATCCATCCAACCATCCAAGCCATAAATCTCCTGAAGAGGCTACCATTCAACGCTCAAATCTCCACTTCAAGGGGGCACAGGGGTGTCTGTCTGTCTGTCTGTCTGTCTGTCTGTTTAATGATGTATCTCCCCAGAGTTAATGTAACTCAATTTTCAACGAATTTTCATTGCATTTTCCTTCGATTGAGTGCCAATTGAAATCTAATGAGTCGTTGAATCGCTGATTCCCTTGTGATCTTCATCTTTTTGTGGTTCCAATGATTGCCTCTTGCCTCATGCCTCATGCTCTGGAGTTGTATTTATGACACCTGCATGATTTTCACATGATATTTCCACCCGCTCTCTGCTTCTCTTAGAGAAGATCTCTCTAGCTCTCTCGCTCTCTCGCTCTCTCACTCTCTCACTCTTCGGCTCCATCTCTGGTTGCAATTATTTTGCGGCTTGTTACAGGTTTTCTTCGATATATCTCGTCTCTTCTCTTCTATATATACAAATTTGGAGTCGTGGGAATTGTTTCTTTTCTGTGTTTTGCACAGCGTGGGAAATGTTTTGGTTCGGGGCCTCGTACATGGGACGGTACGGGACGATCTGCCTGCCAAACGGTAAATCAGGTTTTTCCTTTTTCTCCCAAAACGACGAAAATTTGCCTTCGTGCCGCGGTGCCGCGGTGCCTCTCTGTTGCACCACCACAACGATCGTTGGGCTTCGGTGTTTGGTCTTCTTTGAGTTTCGTTTGAACTTTTCTCATCCGAACGATTACCGATTGCCGATTGCCGATTGCCGAATGGTAGTTTGGGCCTTAAATTATGCTGCCAATTTTGTAGAGAGATCTACATTAAACTAAAAGGGAGATCCTCACAGGAAGGGGGGGGATCTGCACAGAAGAGGATAAGAGGAGTGGATCATTAGAAGGGGGAGATGAGCGGAAAAGGAGATCATCAGAGAAGAGCAGATCATTAAGATAGGCAGATCTTCAGAGGATCATCACGGAAGAGGAGATCTTTAGATGGGAAGAACAGAGAGTGGATGTGGGGATTGTTTAAAGATTGCTAATGTGCTGTCCCACATAATTCTTCGCTTAGCAAAGATCGTTTCCCGATCATATTCTCCACACATTTTCCATGCAATTAGTTCTATTTAATACCGAGGAAAAGCCTCATTCATTTAGAGGAAAACCCCCATTCCAGAGACAATTCCAACGCAGCTTCTGTTAATTAATTGGGACTTGAAGGGGCGATGATGGAGTTGGGATCGTGGCTGGCGTCGGGGAGGGGGGAGGGGGGCTCTGCTATCCAATGGCTAATTGAAAGTATCGACGCGTCGTAACACCGTTGTGTGCATTGTAAATTCAGGGGAAAAACAAGGAAAAACAGAGACGCCGTCTTTCATTCATGGCATAGCTTCTGTGTTTCCATTGACTGGACAAACTGTCTGTCTGTCTGTGTCTGGGGCATGTGGCAGGGGGCATGTGGCATGGGGCTGCCGGTCTCCAGTTTGCAGTAAAAAGTAGGCGTCGCCACATCCTGCTGCAGCCGCCGCTAATAGCTCCAATACACGTCTGCACCGTGGAATATACGTGATTTCCTACTTCCTCAAATGTCTGGCGTTGTCGATTCATAAATATTGATGGGGCACATTCTATCGCAGAAACCGAGGAAGAGACGCAGTCGGAAGAAGCCTTTGGGATCGGGTGTCTCTGCAGAGTGGACACTTCTGCGTCTCTGGTTCTTCCTCTCTGGAGTGTTGGCTCCTCTCTTTGGAGTGGGGCTCTCCTTCTAGTCACCCCTGGCTGCCCCCCCCTCTCTCTCTCTCTCTCTCTCTCCATCTGTGGCCGGAAGCACAGAGAACCTTAGAGATTGCTGCTCCCTTTCCATTTTCTGTGTGATTTTTGTGATTTCCTTCTGCTGCTGCAGGGTGAGGGGCACAGAGACTTCCTGTTTCTTCCAGTGCGGAAGTGGAGAAGCACTTAAACGCTGCCCAGAACGGGGATTTCTCTGTACAGATTTCTGCTGCCGCCGCTGCTGCAAGTCATTGCTCCTGCAGGATTTTTGGGACTCTCGGGGATTAAATTTCAACCCTCAAGGAGCGAGAGAGAGAGAGCGGGAGAGGGAGAATCTTTTGCATTCGATGTATCTCTGTATCGCTGTATCGCTGTATCTGTCGTTTGTTCGTTTTTCATGAAATTTGAACAGCTGCCGCCAACCCCTAGGACACACCGATCGAAGCCCAGGGAAAGGGCAGGCAACCCTCCCTCGGTGGACGAAAATCGAGCACTGGAACACTGGAACACTCGTCTGCTTCTAGGGTAGTTTTACCTGTTTCCCCCGAATGTACAGCTGCTTCTGACCTTAGCCCCCGCCTCCTGCCGCTCCTGCCGCTCCGTGCCCCCGCCTCCTACTTCGCCGTCTCCGTCTTCGTGTGGCAGCTGCCACATGCCGCCGCTGATCCTCGCTCTGGATCTCCTGCTGCTGCTGCTGCCACGCGCCGCATATCAACATGGTAATCATCTTCATCTTTCATGCCTCTCCGTCTGCGTCTTCGTCTTCGTCTCCATCTGCCTCCTTTTGTTGCACGTCCGTCCCTGATGTTGTGCAGGTCCTTCTTTTTTTTTTTTTTTTTTTTTTTGTATTTTCTCTACATTTTTACCTTTATTTTTTTTTGCCCTGTGCAACTGTTGGCGGCATGCCACAGCCAGTCGCTTTCGTCTGATGTCTAAAGGAAAAACCTGTCCTCTGTCATTCTTTTTTCGTAATTATTTATATTGCCATATGGATTGCTTATAGATACTTCTGCAGGTCCTTGGCATCCTTCAGGAGTCGGGAGTCGTCGTCTGCTGGTGGTAATTGTTGTCGCCAGCAGCTGTTGCAAGGTTGCAAGGTGCATCTTATCATTAATTAATGCCAATTGCTGGCGGATCAGAATTAAGAAATTTTTTGTGTATTTTTTAGGGATTCCCTTGCCATTGAAAATTACCAGAAAAGCTACTCAAATGTAACCCTAAATTTATTTTCTGAACACTCACGTTCTTGCCCAGAATTCCCAAGAACAATATTTTCATATGCCCGAAATACACACACTTTTCGAGGGCAGTTTTCCAGGAAAAGATGCCACCATCTGACCCTGAAATATGGTTTGTTCTATGCAGAACATCCGCCTGTTGATCCACTGGATGATCCCTTGCGATCGGTGCTCCCTTTCTCCTGTTCTCCCTTTGGTTCTTCCTCCATTTCTCCTTTCGTTTCAAGGTCTTACGTTGAGTTCCCTTGAAAGATCTATGCTCCTTCGCTTTTCGAATCGCTGAGAGATCATTGCCCCATCGAATGGGGATCAATAATCTTCATCGAAGTCACGTGCTGCTGCAACTAGGGCCCAGGAATACCAGGGCCTAGGCTTCTGGGGTTTATTGACTTCTCGAAGCGAGAGCGAGGAGGCTCTGTAATCCGATATCTAGCACATGGCTTGCCGGCTACCTGCCAAAAACTCTGCAGCCAAGAAGATGCGTAATCCAATACGTGGGACGTGTCTGTGGCTCTTCTCTAACACAAAAAATGTTCAAACAATGTGGCGGAAAATGTATCTAAGAGATAAATGGGAAGAAGAATGAGTAGAATGGGTAAATGTGGCTGTAGAAAAAGTATCTAGGGGATAAATACAAGTCGTAGAGGGATCCATCATAGATCTCCCCACCGAAAACCCTTTCTAAAGCCAGAATTTTGTTTATCTTTTTTCCAACAGTTCGCCGTTCGCCCTCCTCCTGCCCTGGACCCAACAACCTGCCGCCCCTGCAGTTCCACAGCGTGCACGGGGATAACATCAGGATCTCCCGCGATGGCACCCTGGCACGTCGCTACGAGAGCTTCTGTCGGGCCATCACCTTCTCGGCGCGCCCAGTGCGCATCAACGAAAGGATCTGCGTGAAGTTTGCGGAGATCTCGAACAACTGGAATGGAGGGATACGCTTTGGGTTCACCAGCAACGATCCTGTGTCGCTGGAGGGCACCCTGCCCAAGTACGCCTGTCCGGATCTGACGAATCGGCCCGGCTTCTGGGCCAAGGCCCTGCACGAGCAGTACTGCGAGAAGGACAACATCCTGTACTACTACGTGAACAATGCGGGGGACGTGATCTACGGGATCAACAATGAGGAGAAGGGTGTGATCCTCTCGGGGATCGATACGCGAAGCCTGCTGTGGACTGTGATTGATATTTATGGCAATTGCACGGGAATTGAATTCCTGGACTCGAGGATCTACATGTACCAGCAGCAGCAGCAACAGATAACCCAGTCCCTGCCCCTGCAACCGGCGATCCAACAGCAACAGCAGCAGCAGCCGGTGCCACAGATGCAGCAGCAGATGCCGCCACAATCCGCCCTGAATCCGCATCATCCGCATCAGCAGTCGCGTCGCTCGCTGCCCGGGAACGGCGGCGTGATCGAGCACGATCTGGAGCGGCATGTGATGCCGTCGCTGCAGTCGCTGCATTTGACAGGAAACGCCACAGCCAGTGTGGAGCAGGCGGCCATCGCCCACGACCTGGCGAACGGTCTGCCACCGCTGCGATACAATGCCAATGGACGGCTCATTCCCGTGCCCTTCCACATCACGAAGGGCAGGAATGTGCGTCTCTCCCATGACCGTTTCATTGCCTCCCGCACAGAGTCGGACTTTTGTCAGGGCTATGTCTTCACGGCCCGCCCCATACGCATCGGGGAGAAGCTGATTGTGCAGGTCCTCAAAACAGAACAGATGTATGTGGGGGCCCTGGCGCTGGGTCTGACGTCGTGCAATCCTGCCGTCCTGCAACCAAACGATCTGCCAAATGATTCCGATTTTCTGCTCGATCGTCCCGAGTATTGGGTCGTCAGCAAAGACATTGCGGCCGCCCCGCAGCGCGGCGATGAGATTGCCTTCTTTGTGGCCCCCAACGGGGAGGTGTCGATCAGCAAGAACAATGGCCCAGCCGTTGTGGTGATGCACGTGGATCAGTCCCTGCAGCTGTGGGCCTTCCTCGATGTCTACGGCTCGACGCAGTCGTTGAGGATGTTCCGCCAGCAGCTGCCGAACATGGTGGCATATCCCTCACAGCCGCAGGTGAATGCCAGCGCCTGCAGCACCTCCTCCGCTTCTACCTCGAGAATGCTGCCCATGACCGAGTCCATGACCAGCTTGAATGCCGGACAGCTGCTTGGGGCGGCCACCAAGATGCTGCAACACAACTCACAGCTGAGTGTGGCGCAGAGCACGAGCACGCTGGCCTCGGCCGCTGGAGCAGCGAACGGCAGTCGTATGATCAGCATGCCCTCCAATGGTGACATCCTGCAGATCCAACCGAATGGCGGTGGCACTGTGCTGGTCGTAAATCTCCCGCCAGCCAGCAGCTCCCATGATCTGAATGGCCAACAGATGTCGTCGAGGCCAACGACCACGACGGTGACCTCCAGTGGGATACTGGCCGGAGCCTGCAGCAGTGGGACCCTCATCAGCACCGCCAGCAGTCAGTATATTGAGGTGAGTCCCAAACAGAGAGAGATCTCCATCTTTGCCTCGTACTAAACAGACATTTCTCTCGTATAGCCCATCGCCAATAGCACAAACAATGCTGCCAACAAATGGAAGGACAGCTTGAGCGATCAGCATAGCACGGACTCCAGCGCGGAGTGCACTATTTGCTATGAGAATCCCATTGATTCGGTGCTCTATATGTGCGGACACATGTGCATGTGCTACAACTGCGCCATCGAGCAGTGGCGCGGCGCGGGCGGCGGCCATTGTCCGCTGTGTCGGGCAGTGATTCGAGATGTCATCAGGACCTACACGACGTAGGAGCCGCGACTGAGCGTAGGAGCAGCCCCCTCAAGCCAGCGGGAAGCGTTTCAGTTTCCTAAACAAAAGAAAACCTTTTAACTCGCAATCAAATCTAAAAAAAAAAAAAACTAATATAAAAAATACTTTGTTGCATTTCGTAAGAAAAGGAGAGCAGCGGAAGAGAGATCAATTATATAGGGCATAAGGAAGGAAAAGTAGCACGGCATGGAATGGATTGCAAGACTCTAGTATTAACAAATAACTGATATTTTTGCAGAAACTAAAGATTATAGAAAGGACTATTTAGAGAGATGGCAGAAGCAAGAATGTCTGCATGCTTCTTATATATTTTTATTAGATATATTTAATTTTTTTGTGATTTTATGAGTATAAGAGAGTGCGCCCGAGAGCCGGAGCCCCCTGAGAATATTATTGTATTGTTCAACCGAGATTTTTACGTTTATTTAATTTTTTTGTAAACACCGAAGCCACATACATATGGTATACATAATATATTTATGCGTGTTGTACACTAAATATTAAAAACCAAAGTATTGTATGGAAGGATTGAACGATTGATCAGAGCCGATCCGTTTTTGTATTAAATTTTTTTATTGTATTGTGCAAAAATTTAAGGACAAAAGTTGTTGCAAATTTACTTAGTTTTTTCTGTATATGAAAATTTCGATTCAAAAACAAAACAAAAATTATATATTTCCAATCATTTTGGTGCTAAAAAATGTTTTGAATTTGCAAAAATTATGAAAATTGTTAAAGGATTTTGAATGAAAAGTTATGTTTAGGCTTGCGGCAACTACAATACATGGAAATTATAGGAACTAAAACCATTGACTACTTTCCGAACAGAAGGAAAAGCACAGAAAATAAATCTATTCTGCCAGCACAAAAAGATTGAGATCAGAGAAAAATGCTTATATGCACGAAAACCAAAATACAAGAAAGACAGAAAACTGCAAGAGCAGGATGCGTGTTAAATCTAGTTTATAGTTTAGTTTTAAGCGATATTTTAAGTTAATTTCTAGTCAACGAATTATGCTGAAGTTTAATCTAAAAAAAAAAACAAAATGGGACTTCACTTCAACCAAACAAAACAAAAGAAAAAAAAAACAACAAAAAAAACTATGAAGGAAAATCGTATATTGAGCACTCACGCTAAGCAATTTTAATGGAAATGCCGCATTTTAATGAATTAACATTTAAGTAGTGCACATATTTTTAATGAAACAATGATTATATATTTTAAATGAACAAAAGACTTGTATGTTGTACAGCAACAGCTCGAAAGGAAATACATGTATTGAAAACTGGATGCCCATCTAAAAGAACAGAAACATGCAGTTAGAGAATTGCCAATAATTAATTAAAAACACCAAGCAGAAACACACAGAGCAAAACAAACTTTACCTAAGATTGTATTAAAGTAAAAGATCATCTAAGAAGCAAAAGAAACAAAGAAAATAATGGAATGCGAAATGAAGCGCAAGCATACTATTTTTGTTATAAGTATGGATGGATTGAATTGGATTGGATTGGATAAGGCGCGAGGGATACAATGGAGACATTTGTTATTGCCACTATTTATAATTAATTTTTAATTTTTTAATGAATAAGTATTCGTACTCTTACGAATACAAATGCCTAGTTATGAGTAAACATTTAAATGTATTTATGAAATTATATTTGATATATGTAAGACAACGCAATGCTGTAATACCATTAAATACACTACTGACAACAATATCAGACAGTTTGTTTTTCATTTTGGGGAAAATAGGTCGAAAAATAAAGGGAGATTCCAGCCGAAGACGTTACTATATATTCATCACAAATAATGGAGATGTATCGGCCACACTCACAGTATTCTAGCATTCTAAGATTTCCGACCTCGAATCGGTAGTTTGAATTACATTATTTCAAATAATAATAACAATAATTCAAATAATAATGAATTCGTAAAAACGGTAATCCAGAGTGACTTTTCGATATACATATATAGCTAGTAATATTTTACGGAATATACAAAGTGAGCAATATTCCAATCCAAGGTTTCCAATCCTTGACGGAGAACGATTAACCTATTAGGAGCCAAGGGGGTATTTAAATTTTCCTCCGAAAATAATGCAAATTTAATAATTTTAGCGCAGTTCAGGTGAGAGATAGCGTGGTTATTTTTAAGTTCAGAGCAAAGATGGCGTGAAACTGCAAGAAGAATTTACAATCGTTAATATTTTTCGCCATTTACCTCAAGTAGTTGAACTATTTAAATAGGGGGGGCATAAGTGGACTAAGTTCGGGTTTTCATTATACGGGACGCTATATTGTTGTTGGGGAACCAAAATTGGGGCAAAAACGATCAAAGTATTTAAAATAAGGCAGTCAAGTAGAAAATAGATTCATTAATCGGATAAAATTATGTGGGCATGTCAAAATGTTCTATCTAGCTAATAATATTCCACGGAATATAAGAATCGAGGAATATAGAATTTGAATTCGTTAGTATATTTACGGTATATTTTTAAAATGAGACGGTATATTTCAGTGGGTCGGACGGTATCTTTTCTCGACACGGTAACACTGACACGCAGTAAACAGAGATTTTATACAGATAAAAAAAAAACAGGAAAAAAACTTGTTTTAATGGTAAAAACGCGCATTAAACAATTAAATAAAGGTGCTTAGGTGTGTTGAAAATTAGCCCGCTTATATTAAATGTGAGTTGAGCCATGAATGATAGATGAAAAGAGCTTATCGTGCTTTGACGAGCAAACACATACACACAACGTAGACAAAATACTAACCCCACCCCCGCCGTTTGGGTCTACCAACCATTTTCCAGAGCATAAGCGACCCAAATACAATTAAAGCAGAAGCAGCAGAAAACGAAGCGCGAGCGAACTGAAGAAACGTTTGTGCCTAATTACGTATTCCAATCATGGATGAGGCGAACATACAGGACAAGGAGCGCTTTGCCAGTCGCGAGAACCACTGCGAGATCGAGAGACGGAGACGCAATAAAATGACGGCCTATATAACAGAGCTCTCGGACATGGTACCCACATGTAGTGCGCTGGCCAGAAAACCGGATAAATTGACCATACTTCGTATGGCTGTGGCGCATATGAAGGCTCTGCGGGGCACTGGGAACACCAGTAGCGATGGCACCTACAAACCCTCCTTTCTTACCGACCAGGAACTGAAGCATCTAATCCTGGAAGCCGCTGACGGGTTCCTCTTCGTGGTATCCTGTGATTCGGGTCGCGTTATCTACGTTTCAGACTCGGTGACGCCCGTGCTGAATTACACCCAGAGCGACTGGTATGGCACCAGTCTGTACGAGCACATACATCCCGATGACCGCGAGAAGATTCGCGAGCAGCTCTCCACCCAGGAATCACAGAATGCGGGACGTATCCTGGATCTCAAATCGGGCACGGTGAAAAAGGAGGGACATCAGTCTTCGATGAGGTTGAGCATGGGCGCCCGTCGCGGTTTTATTTGTCGCATGCGCGTGGGTAATGTCAGCTCCGATTCCATGGTATCGGGACATCTGAATCGCCTGAAGCAGCGCAACTCCCTCGGACCCTCTCGCGATGGCACCAACTTTGCTGTGGTCCATTGCACGGGGTATATCAAGAATTGGCCGCCCACGGATATGTTCCCCAATATGCATATGGAGCGGGATGTGGACGACATGACGTCCCACTGCTGCCTGGTGGCCATCGGTAGGCTGCAGGTCACCTCCACGGCAGCGAATGACATGAGCGGCTCAAACAATCAGAGTGAATTCATCACACGCCATGCCATGGACGGGAAATTCACGTTTGTCGATCAGCGTGTGCTAAACATTCTGGGCTACACCCCAACGGAGCTGCTAGGGAAGATTTGTTACGACTTTTTCCATCCCGAAGATCAGAGTCACATGAAGGAGAGCTTCGATCAGGTGCTCAAACAGAAAGGACAGATGTTCTCTTTGCTCTACAGGGCACGGGCCAAGAATTCCGAATACGTTTGGCTGCGCACCCAGGCGTATGCCTTTCTCAATCCCTACACCGATGAAGTGGAATACATTGTGTGCACGAATAGCTCCGGGAAGACCATGCACGGTGCTCCGATTGACGCCGCTGCGGCCCACACACCTGAACAACAGCAACAACAGCAGCAGCAGCAGGAGCATGTTTATGTGCAGGCCCCTGGCGTTGATTACACACGCAGGGAACTCACTCCCGCTGGCAGTGCCACCAATGATGGGATGTACCAGACCCACATGCTCAGCATGCAGGCGCCCACGCCACAGCAGCAGCAACAGCAGCGTCCGGGATCGGCCCAGAACACACCAGTGGGCTATGCCTACGATACAACGCATTCGCCGTACAGCGCAGGGGGCGGTGGACCCTCGCCACTGGCCAAGATCCCCAAGTCGGGTACGTCACCTACGCCCGGGGCGCCCAATGCGTGGGGCGCACTGCGTCCGCAACAGCAACAGCAGCAACAACAACAGCCCGTCACCGAAGGCTATGCGTATCAGCAGACCAGCCCGGCACGGTCGCCGAGTGGACCAACCTACACGCAGCTAAGCGCTGGCAATGGCAATCGGCAGCAGCAACCCCAACCGCAGGGACCATATCAGGCAGTACCACCGCCGCCGCCACCGAATGCGCCGGGCATGTGGGACTGGCAGAATGCAGGAGGTCACCCACATCCTCCCCATCCGACGGCGCATCCGCATCATCCGCATGCACATCCCGGGGGACCAGCCGGAGCCGGTCAGCCGCAAGGCCAGGAGTTCTCCGACATGCTCCAGATGCTCGATCACAGTGCACCCACAACATTCGAGGATTTGAACATAAATATGTTTAGTACACCGTTTGAGTAATCCCTACAGTCCTATGCAATCCAATCCCACTCCATCTGCCGCGTCTCTCTCTCTTGACCATTTCTCAAGTGCAATCTATCGGAAAATTGTTGAAATAATTCAGCCAAAACGCAGACCCATGGTAATCTCGTAAATAGCAATTTAAGTACATAACGATTGGGCACGTACCCAAGAATTCCGATATTCGTATCTTCATTTTGTCGGCCCCTCCCTAAACCCCGATAATTCGCAAAAAGCTAAAGGTATTTGCAATTAAAGAGCACACAAGAGCGATAATATTTATTCAGAGCCTATGTATTCTATACGATTTCTGAAAAGGGCTTCGACTTGGGAGTGAAATTCTCTCTTATCTTCTTTTCTCATTAAGTGCTCCAACCATTATGCAAATTTTCAAGTTCATATGCAACTTATATACATATATAAATACATATACAAATCGTAGTCTAATATACAAAAATTGTTAATTTTAAGCAAAAGCACATACAAATCCTCCCCTGAAAAGTATTGCCCTCCAGCGCCAACATTGACACCAATCCAATTCTCCCATTAATTTCGCTCGCTTTCTGCGAATGCAAACAAAAGTATATCACACACACATCTGCATAGATTCATTTATAAACAAATTCGCTTAATGTGCAGCTTTTCTTTCGTTTTTAGACGAAAACGTCTGAACTTTCAAGCTCAATACAGTGGCGTTCAAAATTGAATTTCACATACGTACTGGAAACAGTGGCGGCACAAACTACATTGTCAGCTGAAAGACGAATGCACCCCCCACCCATTCAATTATGACAAATTAGTTATTAAGCAAAAAAAACTTCAAGAAACCAATTTTTACACAAATCGTTTAGTCGCTAAGTCCACCCCTTTTTTTGTAATTAAGCCACAAAATCAACGATTATGCTTAGAGTTTTGGGGTATTGAGAACAAATATTTCGGTTTTTAATGAAAAATAAACATAATGTACTACTAACTATTATGGAGGAGAGGACTTATTTTCGCTTTCGCTGCCGCCACAGCTAGGTTTCTGGAGTGCCTTTTTGAAATCGCTGAAACGCTGACGTTTGGCAGGACTATTCGCATCCGGCGAATTCTTGCGCTTCGTTGCACTATCTTTGTCCTCCTCATCACTGGGCTCGCTCTGCTCAGCCTTGATTTGTTCCTCGCGCTTTTTACGGACATTTAGCCAGGCCATCATAGTCTTATTCATGGGTGGCTTGGCCGGTTTTGCGGCCAGCTCGATGGGCTTGTTGCATTCCTCGCTCTTGTTGCGTGAATTATTCACCAGCTTGGTGACCCGATGCCATTCTAGGCATTTAGCAGGCCGCAAAGTGGCCAAGGCCTGCGAATCGCTTACACGCTTAAAGTCCAGCCAATCCTATTACAGCCAATGATATTACATCTTTAATTGCATATAAAATAAAGCATTTCTGTGACTCACGTTCATTTGCTGCTCGGTTTCTAGTATGGCTGGCATTCGGTAGTGCATCCAGTCCATGATTTTGCTGGACTGGAAGGTAATAATACTGTAGCTATACATTTTGTCGCCACTCTCATCCTCCCACACATCAAACAGCCCGGCCATCCGCAGGAGCTTCACATTCGATGGCGTCCAAGTGGTCTTGTCGTAGATCTTGACATCGGTCTCTTGGGGAACAAAGATTAGGTAGGCTTCCCGCTCGGATGGTTTTTTGGCTGGTCCAGCCGTCTGCCATTCGTAGAAACCTTCGCAGAGCACCACACAACGTTGGCCACGCTTAAAGGGTCCTCGATAGAGTTTCGAGTCCATCAGGTGCTCCAGCCGGCAGTTGTTGGTGGTGAGGCCATGCTTGCGGTAGTCGCCCTTGTGCCAAAATGGAATCATGCCCCACATCATGGGCATCACAATGCGAGCGCATTTCTGATCCTCCTGGTCCGAAAAGTGGGCCGCAGAAACCACGACGGGCGTTATATCTGTGGGAGCTATGTTGTAGGATGCCTGATAGCGTCGACCCAAATTGAATTCCGCGCGCCACTCTGGTGTTTCCATCCCTTTTCTTTCTTCATCCTCAGGCGCGATAGAATCATCTTTTTCCTTTTTATGCGCATCAGTTTCCTTCTTGACGCTGCTGTTTTGGTATTTGCAAGCACACAGCACCTGATCTGGATCTAGGGTTCTACCGATTAAGCAGATTCTATTAGCAGATAGCAGACAATTTGTTTAACTTAAAAACTTACAAGCAAGTTCTTCCGCACATGGATTGATAATTCGATAATTCTGTTCATGCAACTCTCGTCGAGCTCGTAAACAAAACACTATACACCTCAATTCGTTGTCGCCAATTTGAACCAATTTTGCCATAAATAAGGAAAAATACAATATCAGTCAGCTGCAGCTGGCAACGACTGCTGATCAAGCACAGTGTGACCGTAGCGGGACTTACGCCCGCGCAGCAAGCACAACAGCTGATTTTTTGAAACAAAATCAGAATGGCCGGTTGAGGTGGTTTTTATTTAATTTTTTTTTAAGTTCACTTCGAATGCATACCACGCAATAAGACTAAAGGCTATACGGCTATAAAACATCCAAAATAATAGTTTTTAATTGTGTGCGGCATATGAAATGCAAAAAAAATTAATTAAACAGAACATGTAAATAAATGCTTTCGAAACAAATTTCCAGTTCGTACCTGGTTCCGTACTGGGGAAAGTCCCGTAATTTCGTCCCTTGAGTTGGATAAAATTCGTAGTTGCTCTGTCTCCTTTTCTGTCCAAAAAGTGGTCGTCGCCAGCAGCTTTAAGGGGTCCCGTTTTGCGTGTCTGTTTTGTAGTGGCGATAGTAGCGCGCGGCACAGTGGGTCAAATATTGTTTGCGTGTCAAAAAAGAAAGATTCAAAATGAACTTTCTTGGCTGGCCCCGACATAACTATATCGAAAACTATCTAAAACATAAAATACATCTATATCAGTAGTAGATGCCAGCCAGCAGAACGAAATATATTAAATTGAAGAATAAAATAAATACATTGTGCAAGGATGAAAATGGTCTTTGAATAATAATAATAACCATCGATAGATATCGCCCTAGTCAAGTGGTAACGACACGACACTATCGACTGTTCCAAAAACCCGGGGTCTTCGGCTCTGGCGTTCGGCTACCGCCAAGGCAGATTTGGAGGCGTGTAACGCAGACCTATTATACCATATATAAATACCATATATCTTTCATTATAATAAATCAAAGCAAACACGCAAACTTTTTTTTGTTAATAATTAGCCGGGCTCTTCGGTAGATATATCGATAGAAAATTGAAAAATTGTGGGATCTATTAAAATTTGGTGTTTGTGGGCTGAAGCCATACGGTCGCACTGCAGGTCAGGAAAAGCTTTTCACTCGACAAAAATTTATTTTCATTTCAATTTAATAATTTTTGAGTGCTAGTGCATTAAAGCTACATTAAATTAGATAATACAGCACCATAGCGAAGTATGTTGCCGTGTTCCCACAAATAATACCAACTAACAAGCTTGCATGTCAAGAAAACTGTGGACTGTAAACTGCATCACAGTCGCAGCAACACCAACAACAATAACATCATCATCGACAGCTTCTTGTGTATATAGGCTATGAAAAATTCGCAATGAACAAAAGATTTCAGCGCAATTTGCAATTGCGTAGCATTCGCATATATGATATGCATGTGTTTACCCATACAAGTGCAAGACAATGTATATAAGGCGAAGATTGTACAAGAATTTCGCGGCGCCTGTGAATAACGTGCAAAGAACGCGAGAAAAGCATTCGACGCATAAGCTTATAAATAGTGACAAACTACAACAGCACAGCCTACTGTTATTCCCAGCTGCCTGCCCAATCAGCTTGCTCAAAGTTCTCATCCAAGGGAGCTTTCTTTGACAAAAAGAAAGAAAAAAATCGCACATAGCGTTGCCATATATCCGGGGGGAAAAAGCCCACGACATCCACGAAAAGTTGAAAATTTTCGCGACCAAAAAGTTAAAAATAAATGTTTACTGTTTGTGCTTAATGTTAAAATGGAGGAAAAAAGCTGAAAGAGAAAAGGGAAAACTGCAATTGCCCCCTCAGCCGCAGCCGCATTCAACAAAGTGTTAAAAGTAATTTTGCTATGGCTCGCGCTCGATTGTATTGAATAATTTTATTGCTCGGGCCAGCTAGTGGGTGGGGATGAGCGACTCTTTTTATACCTTTCCTTTTTCTGTTTTCTGTTCGTTTTTCGAAAGACAATGCGAAAAGAAATAAAGAACAACCGTAATTGTGTGGATGAGAAAGCACGGTGCGAAGAAAATACACATATAAGAGTGTGTGTGTGATGTGTGGCGAAACACTGAAAAAAGAAAAGTGCACAGACCGCGAGAAAACAAAAGAAGAAGAAGACGATGACTGTCTAGGTATCCCGGGACGTAATGCTGCTTCTCCTTCTCCGAAATTGGTTCTTTGTTTTCAGTCTGCGTTTTATTTATGGTTATCTTCTAGCTCCTTTGTATCCTAAATGTCTACAATATAGCAATCTCGAACGAATCAACCAAAACCCAACATACACAGCCACTGAACCGACAGCACAAGTCCAAACAATCATCGTCCATCACAATCATCAAAAAGAGGCGTGAAGAGAACCACAGAACCAACACAGAAACCCCCATCTTCTCCTGGCACCTGTCAGCGGGAGAGGCTCTGTATCGTGAAGTGTAGCCTGTGCTGCCGTATAATGAGTCGACATGAAGGTACCACTCCATACCGTGCAGATCAGATCTCTGACTAAACATACTAAACAATTATGATCTAATCCAGGTGTCAGCTGCGATTCATGTCTCAAGAGCAATTTCAATGGACGCCGCTACAAGTGCTTAATCTGCTATGATTACGATTTATGCGCCGATTGCTATGAGGAAGGCGTCACCTCCACTCGCCACCTGGTCGAGCATCCTATGCAGTGCATACTTACCCGTTCCGATATCGAGCTATATTTCGGCGGTGAGATGTTAACATCGGATCAGCCGCAGAGCTTCACGTGTCCCTACTGCAAGAAGATGGGCTTCAGCGATGCCACGCTGCTGGAGCATGTCTCTGCCGAGCATACGGAGACCAGTCTCGAGGTTGTATGTCCGGTCTGTGCCGGACTACCGGGCGGTGATCCGAATCTAGTCACAGATGACTTTGCCGGTCATCTAACATTGGAGCATCGGCAGGGACCACGCGAGCTAATATCCTTTTTGATATCCTTTTCCAAACACCTACGAATATTCCATTACTTGTAAGCTTTCAGCCCATTCAATTTTTGTTGGTTGCCCTTAACCTTATAGATAATACGATGAGCCATCTGCCATTCGTCATGGCGGTGGAGTGCGTCGCATCCCTGGACGCACTCTCGGCGGACCACGAACGCGTCGTTCCAATATGCACTTCAGCTCGTCGAGCGGTCTGTCGGCCTTGTCGCCCTCGGGTCGCGAATCGGTTGATCCCATTGCGGAATTGCTCTCTCAGCTGTCCGGCGTTAGACGCGGCGGCCCACCTACGTCGCAATTGCAACAGCTACAGATGCAGATGCAGTTGGACAGGCAGCAGGTGACGGTAAGACGGAGACGGAGACAGGGAGACGGAGACGTCCCATCCTCTGGCTCTATATTTCTGTGTGTTTTTGTGTGTATAAGGAAATTGCGACTTTTTGGTGCTTTTGTTTTGTGCATTATTCTAGGCATCGCGCCAAATCGATCGACTGCCAAGGCGTGCGCATCCCATAGTCTCAACATCGAATTCGAATGCCGCTATGGCCGAGGTGATCAGCGGCGGCGGAGGCAGTGGTGCAGTTGGTAGCGGCAGCAGCAACAGCGGCAGTGGAGGTTTAAGTGGCAGTGGTGTGACCGCACCGCCCAACCTGCGCACCACCGAGTGGCCGGTGACAGCGAGCTTCTCGACATCGGCCAGCAATCATCAGCAGACTCAGTCGAGTCTGGCCGCCAATAGCCTCAATGCCAGAGAAGTAGTTCATCCCTCTAGCCCACTTGCCATGAGTGAATTGTCCACTAATCCGCTCTGTCCACTATCATCCTTGCAGGCGGTCGGCACTAGCAGCAGCTCAAACAATGCCCTCGGAATTAGTGTGGGCGTCGGTGGTGCGCCAAATGGTAACGGCGCAAACGGAGCCACTGGCCAGGCGGCTGGTCAGGGCTCGACAGCTGGCGAGGCTTTGTTGTTGGCCCAATTTATGCAGCCTACACTCACAGAGGCTGAGTGGGCGAATGTGGAGCGCAAGCGGGCAGATCGGTGAGTTTTCCGCAACAGTAACACTCTTGTTCTGAGACCTTATTGAACCTCTTTTGTTCTCCGGCGTTGTAGCTCCATGTTTGTGCAGTCGCTGCTGCTGTCGATGCTATGCACAGAGGCCCTGGACTTGAATGCGTCCAATGAAAGCATCGATGGCATGGCCAAGAGTGATAATGTAAATAAGGGGCAACAACAGCAGCAGCAGCAACAGCAGCAGCAGCAGGAGGAGGAGGACACTCTGCTGAACAACAATGCCGATGTGGAGCAGCAGCAGCAAGCACAGCCCGCCATGGTGCGACAGGTGAATCAAATGCAACAGACCTCGCCCGAGGATTTTGTTTGCGATGAGTATCGCTATAAAAACAAAAAGGCCAATACAACACAAACAAGTGGCACGGCAGGAGGTGTCGTCGGAGGAGGAGGAGGAGGTATCGGTGGTGTTGGTGGTGGGGGAGGAGTAGCCGGAGCAAATGCAGCTACTGGGGGTGCGGTTGGTGGAGCTGGCAGTAAGCCAACAGCTGACAGAGGCATCGAAAGACGCGGCCGTCCGCCACCACCAGAGATGGCCACGGGCTCCCAGCCGCCGCAGCAGCAGCAGTCCACGCCCGCAGCTTCCCAGCAGAAATACAAACAGAATGCAAATTCGGCGGCAAACACAAATCAAATTCCCGACACTAGGTAGTGCCTCTGATGATCCAGATGATCGATCACCACACCACACAACAGCAAAGATGCATCCACAACACCACATGTAGCTGCAGCAGCCACAAAACAACAAAAAATCTATCACCACCACTACCACCACCAATCCAACCAGAAGAAGAGCCACAACAGCAACAGCAACAAGAACTACAAGAAACACAGCCGTATATGTAACAACAAAAACAACCAATCGTAGTAGGGAGAGTAATGCTGCTGCTCCCCGGAGGCAGGCTCCCAGGAGTTCAAGGAGTTCCCGGGAGTACCGATTCATCTCTAGCAGCTGCCCGACGCATCCGCCGCCGCAGCAATTTCGTCAAATGGAAAACTATATTATGTATCGTTTATTAAATATATTAAAATTTATATAATTATAAAAAAAAACAGGATGGAGAGATGTGTGCAGCAAGAAAATTATTGTAATCATTGAATTAATTATAATTTAAAGAAACCACAAAAAACGAAAAATAATTGACTTCTGTTCTGGCTTTCCCTCTGACTAAATTCGTAATTAATTTGTACGATTTACGAGACTAGTAGGATTATGGCGTGGCATTTTTCATTCCTCAAATCTTTCCACCTCCACGGGAGGCAAACTCTGGAGATCATAGGCGCTCTGCACTCCTCGCGGTAAAATACAAAAGAGCTGCTCCACAGCCTGCTTGACCTGTTGCTCCGAACAGTACGGATTGGCCATGACAATCTGGTGGGCCATCATCTTGGCTAGTTTCTTAAACAGAAATCGATTGGCAATGAGAGACTCCTGGAGGGGAGCCATCAGGTGCCGCACAATCCACGGGCGAATGCGGAGGATACAGCTGGCCAGCAGTACTTCATCCACCAGATCTATCGAGGGACTTGATATTTGGGCAGAAAACTCATCGTCACTGTCCTCGCCAAAGAGTATGTGGAATTTGTGCCGCAGCCTATCCTCGCACCGCCAGTCGGCCTCCAGCAAGCGAATCAGGCAGGCATTGAGTCGCCGGCGCTGGGCATACAGTTCGCAGGGCCAGCGGCTGGTGCTTAAATTCGTTTCACTGTGCTCTGCGGCTGATACCAAGGGTGAGGGCGGATCTTCACTGTCGTCTATGCCGGGCAGCTCCTCCAGGATGGCCGATACCTGAAGGTCGTCTGTTGTGCTTTCAATCCCAAAGATTTCATTTAGATCGGTGTTCTCATCGCCAAATAGCAGGGCCAGTTCCTTGCCAACTGCATCTTCGTCCTCCACTGGCTCCTGCTGTTGCTGCTGCTCCTGCTGCTCAAGGACAACACGCTTGTTGCGACGAAGTTGACGACAGCGGCGACACGGGAGTTCATTGTCGGCCTCTGATTTTTCGAGTCGCGCCTGAAACAAATCGATTTTCTGGCGCAGCTCAACGCTGCCGTAATCGTCATCTGCATGGGAATTACTCTGACTGTGACTTATAATATCATTTGATGGCTCGGTGCATACGGTTTGCGTTGCCTTATCGACAAAACATTCGACAGAGTTGGCTGGCAGTGCATCCTCGCCCTCGCTCCCACTCTCGCTACCCATGAGCTGCATGTTGTTCAACAAAACGTTGGCCAGGCGACACTCCTGCGTATTCCTTCGTACGGTGGCTATCTGCGAGAACGGGACCCAAATTGTGTTAGCCAAGCAGCTTGCATACCACCCCAACATCCAGCCTACGTACCATCTTGACCATGCTCCGTTGATAGATCTGAGCAGCCATGCAAGCCTTGACTGCCATTTCCTCTAGCGTGCTCAGGCTCTGGGGGATGCAGGCCCACGCGGTGTTCTTGTGGTGATTCCTTGACTTCTTTGCCCAGGCGCAGACATTCTCCTGCAGCTGCCGCTCCAGGTAATGTACATATTGCTTACGAACCTTTCGATTTGAGGGATTAAATGCAGCCAAACATCAATAATTTTTTCCCATTTACTTACCACCTCTGTGAGCACCACGAAATCATTGTAACCTTCAAATGACATGCTTAATAGCTACCTAGGACTCTCCACTATACGGCTTTAATTGACTTGGATCATTTTTAAAACGTTTATTACATGCAACGCGAGCTTTTTCCACTCTTGTCAGTTCAGTTTAAAAAGTTATTTAAGCAGGGTGGTTCGCACACAGCTGGTTTTTGCAAATTATCGATAACTCCTATTTATATTATTTTTTTTAGTTTCTTGAATTAATTATTTTAATTTTTTTGTTTATTTAAAAATCATTTTTGCAATCTCACAGGCAGAAATTTTTGTTTATAAACTATAGACTTGTTCATCTTGTCGGGCTACATACATATATTAATTGCTTTACATGCTCTTAGTTAAAGTGCCTATCTATTCGGTGTATAGTATAGTACATACATTTATGTATTATATTAGCAAAAATGTTTAAACATTTAACAAAGATATTTCTTTCTTGCAGAGCCGGCGTTCGACCTCCACGGAAATTTAGCTCCGTGTTGTTTATTACAACTTTGTTATTTTGAATAACAGCAAAATTAAGCGTGAAGGAAATCTATTATAAATATATATATTAGTTTAATTGTGTTTTAAGGGCTACACTTCTAGAGCCAATGCCATAGATTTGGCCTAATTTTGAATATCAATATCCGCATACTTCCTCCCGTTTGCATTTCGTGTTTTTAGCTAGTCTAGAAACATATTGTCGTCATCAAAGGTGAATACATTGTTGCCGGCCGGGGCGCGATCACTGGGAGAGGGACTTTCGGGCGAATCGATGGTGCTGGCTGAGGTTGAGTTTCCTGTTCCAGTGCCAATTACTCTTCTAATGTTTGAGCCGCTGGCTTGGGAGTCATCCATCCGCCATCCGTCGATCATGGATAGTGGTTCCGCATCGACATCGCTGGCGTCATTCGCCAAGGATTTGCGGCAGATCGGACAAGTACTGTGCAGATTTAGCCATGGCACTATACAATTCTCGTGGTACAGATGGGAGCACGGCAGCTTGCGAACGGTCTCATCTATTTTGAAGTCATCCCAGCAGATCGAACACTGAATCTTTTTCTCTACCTCTTCAGAGGTAATCTGCACATTTGGTATTTCATTGATGCGATTGCTCGACAGTGGCGGAGGTCCTGAGGTCTCCATTTGGTTGAGCATCTGGGTGACAATCGTGTCCAATCCCTCGCGCCCCCATGCATAGTCGCCCGGGTTGCCCATGAAAAACATGCGCGAGTTGCCGGGCACACCGCCCCCGGATGCAGTAACAAACTCTGCAGTGGCGCCGGCCAAGGGCAAGCTTTGCAGAAAGTCAAACAGGACGTTGTCCAGGCGATCCAGATTGGGCGGACGAACACGTCCGCCGGCTGTCAGTCCGACACCGGATGGCGCTGTCAGGGCGTTGTATCCCCCCACGTTTTGCGAATCAGACCGACGACGATTTGGTTCAATCGTGATCTCCAAGTTGGGCACATTACGCATGTTCAACAGCGAGACAATGTCGTTTCGTAAAGACTCCACATTGGACTCCGAATCGCTGGACGCGAGGATAAATGTACCGTTGGAGTCATTGCTGCCCGCAAGTGAACTGGTTGAGGGGGCTTCTGTTGCGGCCGTCATCTCAGGAGCGTTTGCCGGTAGCTCCTCAACAAAACCGTTCGAGCACAGGGGACAGGTGAAGTCCCCGCTTGGAATGTTAATCTCCACATTGCACTTGTGGCAAAAGAAACGCTTCAGACCGACAGTGCGATCCTCCGTATCCACTGCCTCTGCCATTTTTGCTGTCGTCCTTTTTCAATTGCAATTGTGCAAGCAGCAGAGTCGGGTCGGTCGGTATATTTTTTCTCCAGGTAGTATTGTTGTTGGCCGTCTGCAAAAACTGACAGCCGTGCTTGTTGTGTGGGTTTTAGTTGCGGCGCGTGTTTCGTTTCACAGACAAGGACAATGCACGCTCACCAGGCTCCACTTGCAATATTGAGTTTGACGAAATGAATTTATTTAACTTTTCTAAAAATAAGGCCTACGATGATCTGGTTCTCTGTAACCACCGAACTAGGTTCTAACAATAAGGCCTACTTGATCTGGTTCTCTCTTACCACCGAACAGTGGTGCCAAGATTCGAAAATAAGCTAAAACTAATTACACCCCAAAACTATATCATATTGTGGTTTCATTATACTGATGTTATTTTGAAATTAAGCTCAACTATTTTAATGACAAGTAGTTGTTGGGTTCGAATGGGTTGTTTCACTCCCAGCACATTTGCTAAAAATATTCACAATATCTGTTCCACAAAATCATTGGTCTTTTTTCGAGAACTTTAAAATAAAACTTTATCGGCCTGCGTAAACAGAACATGCTAAATTTGTATTCAAAGCACTTGGAATCCTACAAAACATAAAAAATTATAAGCAGATTATATAACCCTATAAACTATAAAAAGCTAGATCGATTCAAAATATGCCAAAATGACCGCACGGCCAAAAACTAGTTCGATAGCAAATTTCGTCTGAGGCTACCAGCTTGTCATAAAAAGAAAAACATGGTGATACTTAGTACATTTAGTACACTACATCTGGCAGCGCTAACCAGAAACAAAAAGTCATCTTCAGGCGGCGTTTAGCATTTTGCAAAAATTTATCATTTCCAGCAAGTTAAATTAAACTAGAAGTAAACTGCAATGTCGATTTTAGCCTACAACGGTGGCTGTGTTGTGGCCATGCGCGGCAAGGACTGTGTGGCTATTGCTACTGATCATCGCTTCGGTGTCCAGGCGCAGACCATATCGACTGACTTCAAGAAGGTGTTCCACATTGCCCCACGTATGTTTCTGGGGCTCACTGGACTGCAGACAGATATTCTGACGGTGCGCGATCGTCTGATGTTCCGCAAGAACTTGTACGAGACCCGCGAGAACCGTGAAATGGCACCCAAGCCGTTCTCTGCCATGCTCTCCAGTTTCCTCTACGAGCACCGTTTCGGACCATACTTCATCGAGCCCGTTGTGGCTGGCCTAGATCCCAAGACACTGAAGCCCTTTGTTTGCAACATGGATTTGATTGGCTGCCCCAACGAGCCCGATGACTTCGTTGTGGCTGGAACTTGCGCCGAACAGCTGTACGGCATGTGCGAGACTCTCTGGAAGCCAGACCTGCAACCGGACCAGCTGTTCGAGGTGATTGCCCAGTCCATGATGAACGCCTTCGACCGCGACGCTATGAGCGGTTGGGGTGCCACCGTCTATATAATCGAAAAGGATAAGATCACAGAGCGCTCGCTGAAGACCCGCATGGACTAGATGGGTGATTGGGGAGTTCTTTTGCTTATTTTGTAGACAACAACAGAAACATACATTTTATACAAATAAAATTTGTTTAGGTACAAAATATGCTTTTTAATAGTAGTTATTATTCCTCTTTCCACTCGACAGACTTCTTGGCAAGTGCCAATGCCGCCTCCATGGTCTTGGCTCCACCAATGAATCCGTTGTGGTGGACAAATATGAGATCTTTAATCCCGGCCAGTTCGCTCAGCTTTTCGTCTCGCGCTCCCCTCCAGGGGGTGGGCAGAAATTTGCGTCCCACAAAACTACCGGGACTCAGAGGCACTCCAGCCACTCGCCAACCGCTGCCATCAGAGAAAATAACCAATTTTGGCACTCCTTCAACATGGTACTCCTTTTCCAAATCTGCCAAATGAGCTTTCCATGGGCAGAACGTTGACAACAGGATTATCTCGCCCGTCGGGTAGATGGTCTTTGCCTCCTTCAGAGCAGTGCGCACATGGTCACGGGCCGTAATCCAAGAGCAGGCCACCTCCAAAACGTTGTCGACAAACTCCCTGCCAGCTACATCCATAGCCTGCTTAAAACGCTGCTCGTTATCAACATCCGTGTCTTGCCAGGAGGTATTTAGCCTACCCACACGTGCTGACAGATGAGTGTTTATCTTATAGCGTGGCTCGCCTCCGTCATACATACTCACGCCATTGTCAATGGCATCCAGTTCACTGATGAAATTCCCATAGATCTGCACAAAGGCCAGTTGCAGATTATCCGGCGACAGCTGGACATTACGCTCACGCTTTAGGATACTCTGGATGACCCGCTCGCCGTAGTGAGTATAGATTAGGCCAGCGCTGCTCAATCTGCCACGGATTGAACTACACGTAAGATTGAATGCTCTCGATTTCTCAGTTATGTATTTACCGGATGTTGAAATCCTTGGAGACCTCTGGGCGAAGAATGTTGAATGTTTCCTTGAACGATGTCTGATGATGGTCGTACCATTTCTTGTCATGATCGTACACACTGCCCACATCCACTATGACGTCACACTTTTCCCTCAGTTCCTTATCGTCACGACTGCGGAAGATCTCGGCATTCTCGTACTCCGGCAATTGTTTCAGCATGAAGCATGCCACAACCTCGTCGCAGTGGAAGGTTCCGTTGTGTGTTCCAATCCATAAGGGAGTTGGGCGTTTCGAAGGAGAAGCATCATCCATTCTGGTTAGTTTTCCTGCGTATAGCAACTGTTAAGAATATTTTATTCATTTAAATTATTGTTTTATTGAATACTTACGAAAAAAGCGACAAAAACGCGGCAAACAGACCCTCATAAAAATATCGAAATATCAAAAAAACCCACATAAGCCCCCTCCATTTAAACAGTTCAACGACTTAAGGTAAATGGCGGAAAATATTACTGATTGACATCTTTCCTGTGAACTTAAAAAACAGCGATATCTTTCACGTGAACTATGCTAAAATGATACAATTAGAGTTATTTTCGGTAAAATATTCAAATACCTTCATGGTCTACAATGAGTTAATCTTTCTCCGTTAAGGATTGGAAACCTTATTGCTCAATTTTGATATTCCGTGGAATATTACTAGCTAGATACAAAATTTTGCCATGCCCACATAATTTTATACGATTTGTGTATAAATTTTTTATTTCACTGGCTTACTCTAAATACTTGCTTTTATTGGATCTTGTCCAAAAAAAAGGTTTTTAGCGAAAGAGTTCAAACATGTATCATATTTGTATGGTTGGCAGTGCGGTATAGCGCAAAATCTGGCTTTTCAGCAAGGTTGGCAGGTCCGTTTTGACATGAGCGCGTATTAATTTGAATTTGAATTTGAAAAATATACGTTTTTCCTAACCGCAGATTTCTCTGTGCTGAAAAATTAATGAAAAATGTTGAAAATAGATTATCCTGTTGCATTGGGTAATGAAAGTCGTTAGAAACTCTACAATACATTTAATTTTAGCAAATCACCTTACATTTTTTTTTTTCATTAAATTCAACTAAATCCTAAATCCCTGTTTGGTAGTTATGCGTAACCCCCTTCTTCAGCTTTGGGTATTTGATTTTTGCACAAGAAAATACACGAGAACACACACACACGTGCGTTATATTTCAAATGGCGCATAAAATTTGAAAAGTCCATGCTAAATCAAAACGAAACCTCTTTGCTGCACAGCACACAATGTGGACAAGTGGTTGGTTGGGGCTCTACTCTGCTTTTCTCTGGGTGGTATGGTGGGGCCACATGTGTGTCCTTCCATCCTGCTACGGCTGCTGCTGCTGCTGCTGCTACCCCGCTACCCCCTTTACATCACTGAACTACGCATGTTTTCAGCTCTAGGCATTGTTTGGCTAGTGAGGCCTGGCCATGAGGCAGGCCACGGTCAGGGCCAGGACCAGAAAAAGTGACAGAGGCAATATTTAAATGGTATGCGTATGCGTGTATTTGTGTGCGTATGTATGTACGTACATATGTGCTGGCTTTGCCATTCTCGATGACTGCACCAGCGCCGTGTCCGTGGATGTTGAGGGCAAGATGTACAGCTATTGCCGGGAGGTGGGCATCACGCTCTTCACTGTCTCGCATCGGGAATCGCTTTGGGTCCATCACGACTACTATCTGCAGTTCGATGGACGGGGCAGCTACGAGTTTGAGGCGATCGACCAGGGCAAGGAGCATTGTGGCTCCACACATTCATCCCGCTTCCGTTTTTTCAATGCCCAATAATCGACAGCAGGCAGCAGTGTGTGATTCTCTAAAACCCACGTGCAATTACCGCTCCACTTTAGGCTGTACCTTTTTTTGGTGCTGGCAAATCCTTGCTCCTACTCCGCCTCCACTTCTTGGCTCTGTGTCTACCTCTACCTTTACCATTTCTTACTTCGTTTTGTGATGTGTGTGATTTTTATTTGTTTGTTTTGTTTACTCGCTTATTCTATTCCATAGCTTAATTCTGGGCTTAGTCGGCTTTTAGTTGTATTTTCTATAACAGAGTTTTGGTAAAAGATGACGATCGCGAGAGTCCATACAGCAAAACACATTTTAGTAAATTTATACGACAAATATACACAATACAAATATGTAAATACATAAAATATATACTCGTATATATAGTACAAACTATATATCGATTTCGCATACAGGTAATTACGTAATTACAGGTCCCCTAGTAATTTGTAAAGTACACATTAGATTATCCTCCCATTGTATCCTTTTTCTTTTATGTTTTTGTATTTATCGGTATAAATTGGAGTTTTTTTTTTTTTAAATTAATCTTTTTGCAAAGAACACGGGCTGTCCGTGTCAGTGCGAAAGAATGCAGTAAAGTGTATATAAATATATAAAATAATAAAAAAATACGAGTGTAAATTAGATTGCTTACTTAGGGCGACACTCGACACTAAGCTAACATGCCCAATATCGAATGTACGGAACGGAAGGTCAATTTTTTTGCTTGGGCTTTGTGCTTTCCATTAGACTCATGACGGTCTTGCGCATGTCCTCCGTTTCCTTGAGCTCCTTCTCCAGATGCTCGATCTGCTCCTTCTTCGCCTGCAGCTGCGTTTCCAGCACGAAGACTAGATCCTCACACTTTTTGCGACCCTCGCGCTGCTCCTCGAGGCTCTTGTGCTTTTTGGCCAGCTCACGATCGCGCTCCTCAATGCTGCGCACCTTCTCCCTGATGTCCTGCTCATAGGCCAACACGGATTTCTTCAGCTTATCGATGCGTGAAATCTACAAAACAAATGATGCGATTTCAATACTGGTTATTTGGAATGCTGCTGCTTGGTCTTACGCTGTCCTTGCTGAGGGCCTCCAATTTAATGAGCTCGTCGCGTTTTGAGCTAAGATTTGTTTTCAGATCTTCGCAATCCTTTCGGAGGCTGGCTACCTCCGATTCCCTAACGGCCAGGCGGCGCTCGCTGGCCTTCAAATGATCCTCGTTCTCGGATAGTTGCTTCAGCAAGTTGCTCATGTTGCTCTTCAGCTTGTGTGTCTGCTGTTTGAGATCCTTGCACTGCGTTTGCAGTCTAAAATAAGAGGGTGAATAAATCATAAGATCCTAATAGTCTCAAGTCATAATTTGTGATTGCCACTTACCGCTCCTGGCTGATGAGCAGCTCAAAGTTCTTGGTCTGAAACTGTTCCAGTTCGGCGTTCTGGACATTGGCCAGCTGTGTACTGCGAATCAATTGATTGTTGGCCTGCTCCAGTCGCTGTTGCACGTTCAGCATGCTACTGTTGAGGCTGTCTAAGCGATGGTTGTACAGCTCGATCACCTGAGAGACGGGCGCCGACTGCAGTTCATTGCGCCTGACAATGCCGCTTATGTTGTCCAACAGTGCCTCGATGCGCTGCGATAGCTCCTTGTTGGTGAAGGTGCGATGGCACTTGAGGATTGTGCTGAGATTATACCACTGCTTGGGTGCTTCACTGCCGCAGCCGGCGGGCGGAGCGACCGACGAGCAACTGAGACGTCCACTGTTGATGGTTGCCACATGCTTTGGAAGAGGCGACGGCAAGCGATAAGCGATATGGATAGACTAGAAAAGAATGATTGTAGTGATGCCCACCTTCGCCACGGCTACCTTGGGGAAGCGCTCGAATCGGGAAATCTGTAGAACGGCCTCCACCAGCTGCTCATTGCCGCTGGCCAAGCCCCGGGCCAGGGCATACTGCAGTTGGGGCTGCTCCAGCAGGGAGCAGCACATTTCGAAGTACGCCTTCTTGGCAATGTTGGTAATGTTGGCAAAATTGATAAGCAGCAGCAGAAGGCAGAAGATCGCCTTCTCTACCTCGGCCTGTCCCAGCGATTGGTAGCTCAGGCATTGTGGTGTCAGGGACAGCGGAGCGGTCAGAATTTTGTCAAATTTGGACTCGGATATTTTCGATAGTACCAACTTTTCAGTCTTGGACTCGCGCAGCAGATCCAGCAGCAGCCGCAGAATGGCCACGACTTGAGCGGGCTTCGTTTCGGGCCGCTCGGCACTGGCCACCAAGCTGACTAGATTGGTAGGGTCGCGAGCTATCAGTTGGGCCACAACGGCACCCTTGCCCAGACGCAGCAGAGTGGAGACAAGCTCAATGGCCGCCACGCCGCACAAATCGGAGGCCAGCCATTCGCCGATCAACTCGTACAGACGCGGTGTGATGGCGTCCAGGCTGATGACACTGCTTTGCTCCTCGGAGAGATCTAGAATGTAGCTGATGAGGCGAAAGACCAGATGAAGGCAGATCTGTTGATGCTTTCGCGTATCCTCGTGAGAGTCGTCCATGGCGCAGCTCGAACTGATTTGCTGAAACGTTTAGCGAGCGACAGAGCATGATAATGAACGACAATGGATTTATGATATGCTCTTTGCTTACATCCAAGAGCTTTTCCACATCCTCGCAGTAGTGGCTGTGGGAGAGCATGGCCTGATGGAGGCCCGCATGATCCTTGGAGCATGAAGTCCACAATGCGCCGCAACTCGGCTACATTCCAGTTCTTAAGGCAATCCTCGATACCCACAAAGCATGCGCGCAGGAAGGTGTGCAGCTCGTGCTGCTCAAACGCGTGCACATCTTCGGAGAGGATGATGAGCATTTTGTAGCCGAGCAGGCCGTAGTTTATGATCCGTTTGCAGAAGCTGGATATATTCACGTTGCGCAGGAAGAGGAACAGCACCACGAAATTTTTATTGCACAGATTCGCCAGTATCGAAAGGGCCAGCAGGGCGTGCGATGGCGGCTGCGCGTCGTCAGTGTCGCCCTCCACATTGTGGACCATGTCCACCAGGTGCTCGAGCAGGACTGGCAGATACGGCTCCTCCCAGCTGATGTGTATGCCATAGGTTAGGTCCTGCAACAGGACCAGCAGACGATATACCCGCTCCTCGCGCTCAGTTTTCTTCAAAAGAAAACTCAACAGCGGCACAAAGCAGTACTTCTCGATAATGGCCCCACGCGCCTCTAAATTCCGGCTGCAGTGCTGAACCAGCTCTACGCATATCCACAGCACCTCGCACTTCCCTTCCAGCGCACTCATCAGCGCGTGCAGATCCATAAAAAACCTAGCCAGCTCCAGATTTCCGGGAGTCGGTGCATAAAAGTGCGGATGCACTTTCGTTTCCAGCAGCATGATGCTGCGGTGCAGATACACTAGCGACTCCTCGGACTTTAGCTGGTTGTAGTTGGCTGCCTGGCTGCTAAATTCTCGCATATACCCAATGGCCTCCGCCACTCCTGCGTCCTGGTTCACCAGCGATGAGTGCTGCTGCTGCGGCGACTCGTTGTTGTTGTTG